ATGCAAGAATCCCCGTGTGAGACCCCCATGCAAGGAGCCCCATGTGGGTCTCCCCATGCAAGGAGCCCTCATGTGGGGGTTCCCCCCCATGCAAGGATCCCCCATGTCGGGGTTCCCCCCCGTGTGACCCCCCCCGTGCAAGGAGCCCCCTGTGGGGTTCCCCCCCGTGTGACCCCCCGTACAAGGAGCCCCCTGTGGGGTTCCCCCCCATGCAAGGAGCCCCCATGTGGGGTCCCCCCCGTGTGACCCCCGTACAAGGAGCCCCCATGTGGGGGTTCCCCCCCGTGCAAGGAGCCCCCTGTGGGGTCCCCGCCCCGTGCAAGGAGCCCCCTGTGGGGGTCCCTCCCCCGTGCAAGGAGCCCCCATGTGGGGGTTCCCCCCCGTGCAAGGAGCCCCCATGTGGGGTCTCCCCCCATGCAAGGAGCCCCATGTGGGGGTTCCCCCCCATGCAAGGAGCCCCCATGTCGGGGTTCCCCCCCGTGTGACCCCCGTACAAGGAGCCCCCATGTGGGGGTTCCCCCCCATGCAAGGAGCCCCATGTGGGGTCCCCGCCCCGTGCAAGGAGCCCCATGTGGGGGTCCCTCCCCCGTGCAAGGAGCCCCCATGTGGGGGTTCCCCCCCATGCAAGGAGCCCCCTGTGGGGTCCCCCCTGGTGTGACCCCCCCATGCAAGGAGCCCCCTGTGGGGTTCCCCCCGTGTGACCCCCCCGTGCAAGGAGCCCCATGTGGGGGTTCCCCCCATGCAAGGAGCCCCCATGTGGGGGTCGCCCCCCGTCTAACCCCCCCCGTGTGACCCCCATGCAAGGAGCCCCCATGTCGGGGTGCCCCCTCGTGCAAGGAGCCCCATGTGGGGGTCCCCCCCCATGCAAGGAGCCCCATGTGGGGGTCCCCCTGCCCGTGCAAAGAGCCCCCATGTGGGGGTTCCCCCCCATGCAAGGAGCCCCATGTGGGGTCCCCCCCCCGTGCAAGGAGCCCCCCGCGGGCCCCCCCGCGCCCCCCGCACTCACACTCGGGGGGGACGGTGATGGCGCCGCCGGGCGCCCCCCCCAGCAGCAGCAGCAGCAGCAGCAGCCGGAGCCCCCCGGGCAGAGCCATGGCCGGAGCGGCCCTGGGGGGGGGACAGGTGAGATGGGCCCAGGCGTCCGGCTGCCCCCCCCCATTGTGCGGCCGCCGCCTCCCCGCCCCCCCTCTGCAGGATGCGCCCGTTGCCACGGCAACC